TGATCAAACTGAAAAAAGCCACAAGGAAGCTCTGGTGGCCTAGTGGCAGGAGGCTACACTGCAATCCTGAAGGTGTGCAGTTCAAATTCACCAGATTCTCCACTGGAAAAGGAGGGGCAATCTCCTGTGCCAGCTGGATTTGATTTGATGGTACACAATAAAAGGGGGCACAGCCACCAAACAGAGTACCATGATGGTGGTTAAGCCCTGGGAACATAAAGTGACTCCAAGAGGCATGCCCCAAATAAGTCTTCAGTGAGGAAATCCCTGCCCTCTGTGGTGGTCTGGTGTAACCACTGGCCACCATTCTGACGAGTCCTCCCAAGAATAGCACCACCCTGGGCTTCAGGGCTGATCTTTGCTGTTGGCAGCTGGGTGCTGTGCAGTAGTTAGCCAGGGCAGCAGAGGTAAGGGGGGCTGTCTGTAGAGCACATGGACAGGGACCACAGCATTCCCTGGCACTGCTGCACCACCACTAGAGTTGCTTGCATCTGGAGGACTGGGATCCACAGAGCATGTCATTTTGCCACCTAAATTATTCAGTGTCTTTGCACGTGGGACATGCACACCGGATACCCATTTTCAGAGTCAACCGATTACAAGAGATCCACCCATCTAGTTCCTTCTCGCCTGTCACCTTGCCCCTGAACACCTGGCCAAACCATCAGTAACTCAGCGGGAGGCAGGGTGGTGCAGCAGCTCTGGGCCACTTCTTAATCGGTTATGTGCTGTTGAGTCGCCTGCAACTCATAGTGACTCTGTGTACAGCAGTTCTGAAGCCTGCCCTGTCCTAAGCCAGTCTCACTGACTCCGATACCCCTACCCCCATTGCCCCAGTCACAGTATCAGTCCATCTCCTTCGGAGTCTTCCTCTCCAACGCTGTCCCTCCAACCTTCCGAGTATTATGTCCTTCCCTCCAAGAATCGATCAGTCCCTCCTGGCCACATGCCCAAAGTATGTGAGATGGAGGTTCAAAATCCTCACCTCCAAGTCGTCTAGACAACAGTCACAAAACGGTTGTCATGGAATCAATTCTCATTCACCTTTGGGGCTCTGCTCATGGAAAAGATTCCCCTTCATCAACATCTGTACTGTTTTGTGTCCCCCGAGATTGACGCCTACCAAGAACCTGGGAATGTGACTTTATTTGGAAGGACCTGTGCAAATAAAATAATCCTTTGCTGGATTGCTAATACCTACCATTAGGACACAGCACCAGGAACGATTGCCCCCTGGAGCCTTCTGAAGGAGCGTGGCCTGCCAACGTTTTTATTTGCATTCAACAGATCACAATATCAGGTGCCAAGGGTCATGCTGATTGATCCGCTCCTAGGAAATGACTGCATCGCGAACAGCAGGTTCACCTGATGCCCTGATCCAACCAATTGCTGGCGGGTGCAGGAGAGAAGCGTCCAGCTCGGCGAGCCACGGGACAGAACGCAGCTGCACCACAGGGGTGTCCTGGCTGCCATCGTCATGACCCAAGTCACCAGCTCCTTCTGTAGCGCTCGGCTGTCGAGCCACCTGGGCTCTTTACCACCTGGTCAAGTTCACAAACAGC